GGCGTCGGTGTGTGCATGCATCCGCTGCTCACACGTGCTGGCAGGCAGCCTGCAGCCGGTGCCCTCATGCCAGTCCATCGGCTCCAGCATGGAAAAGAGAAAACGGCCCATTCCCGATGCACTTATTCCCACCAGCAGCACCAACACGCTGGCCGCCAGCCGTCATTCCTCAGCACATCCAGGAATGCCGAAAAGTGACGTGGAACTGTCAGCCAGCAATGCCACAATCCCGCACACATGTCGGCTCCACCAGAGAAGACACACAAACCACAAACAACACCCTTCACATGTCATCCGAACATCATTCCGACACACCGCGACACGCCAAACAGAAGTATTCGTCACTCCAATGCACCTCCCCACACAATCACATAGTCCACGCACCACGCACGGCAGCAGCCCACACGCGGTCAAACAAATGTTATTCGGATCAGTGTTATCCACGTGCTGCAGTGGGAAGTAAACAAAAGAGACGGGCTGCCAAACACCAAAAAGAATGCCGCGACTGGCCGCAATTCAACGGAACGCAGCCACTCAAATGAATTCAGTCCTCATGCCCTCAACTTCCCGCCTTCTCCCACAAAAGTCCCACAAAATTAACATCAAATGCACTGTTAAATAAAGCTGCCGTGCAACACAAAACAAAGCCGCAGTGCCTCCTGCTGCCATCCGGGCCGTTGTTGTCGCCTTCACAGGAACAGACGCCCATTGGCTATTTAAAACGACGTGCTACACCTGCAACGCATCTCCTGCGCTTTGAGGCGCACGTCCTTCACTATCACCAGAGACGCCCACGCACCGTCGGTACGCACCACATTGTGAAGGAAAAAAGAATACACCAGAGTGACAACGAAGCACCCGCTGGCAATCGCGTCGCAGGCATCATCACAGGCAGCACCAAAACCGCTGCAGTCAACTGTGGGGTGACGTGCATCAACTGCCGCATGGCTTATTTGGAAGAAAAAACGCGGTGGCTTTACAAGAATACGAGTAGCTGCCACTTCCTCAGCAGGATAAACGATGTGAAAACAAAAAGAAATATTCAGTCATATGCAGTCAAAGCATGCCGCCAATCAAAAAAGCAGAATCGGTGCTCTCAACCACAACACAAGTAAAACAATGAAAAGA